CTGCACATGGCCTGCAAGTATCATCGAGTGGATGTCGTGAAAGTCCTGTTGGAAAACGGAGCGGAGCCAAATCAGCTGGACAAAGAAGATGAGTCGACTCCGCTTCATGCGTTGGCCCGACTGCGTGTGTGCGACTGTCCCGAGTTCTGTACCGACAATATAGACGACGACAAGAAAGAGAAGAAGAGAAGACCAGTCGAGGAGATCGTCGACTTACTCGTCTCGAAAGGAGCGAATATCGAGGCACGAAATGCTCGAGGTTTCACACCTCTGGAATCGGCGGTGTCGCTTTTGGACTATGAGCTGACAAAGTCACTCTTGGAACGAGGGGCGAGTCTTGACAATTTGAGCGAGAATATTACGTTTAGCACAGAACATACATCATCCGAATTGCGTGATTATCCCATTACTTTTTACATCGCTGAGATGATTCGGTTGTTGTCGTCGAATGGATTTTACTGGAAAGTTGACACTCGACTGAAAATTTTGAAGTTTTTTATGAAATATCGCGATTTTTATATAAAAGATTTGATTCGGTACACCGAAAACGGTGAAGTGGATTTAATACGCACTGACCTTTGCCTGACTCCTTATGAAGATTTTGGTTTTTATTGGGATCAAGAAACTGCCGATTACTTACGTAAAAAACGGGCACAATCAAGATTAACAATTCCTTCGCTTATGTTGGCGATGCTCAATTATATTCCTGAAAGCATGTTCATCTACAGTGCACCTTCGAATCGAATCGAAGTTGAAAAAATGAAAGGCATTATGGTGAATACAGACGTTTCGCTGTTAGAAATTTGTCAAATGAGTTATCGGAAAGCTTCATCCATTTTGAGCAAAATAAAAGATTATCGTTTACCAGCATTAAATGGTTTAAAAAACTTCACTCGAAAAATAGTAAAAAAACACATAGCAAACGTTCTGTTGAGGCCACAATTTGAACTTTTGGCCGCCGATCTCTTCATGGCGGATCATTGTCAACTGAAACTGCCGTACACTGCCTGTCGAATAATCGCGGGACACATGAGCGACGAAGATTTGTGGCGCTTGTGTGAGCAGACAAAAGAAAGTGATCTAGAATAAACGACACCTGCCAATGAAGTACACGACTGTTTGAGCAAAGATTTATTTTAATTAATGTAATTTTATTTAATTTCTACACAATGTACTCATATGTAAAAGTGTACTATTACATTCTTTTAATAGCTGTAGTGTTTAATAATATTTAATTATCGCAAAAAATGTTTCAATTAATTTGTGCAATTTGTATTTATTATTTCACAGAATCAATATTAGTATATCTCGGACATAAGCAAATATGATTGAAATCATGTTTTGTGTCATTGTTCCTCAGATAAGTATTTTTCATGTAAATAGACGTCAGAAATTTTTAAATAAAAAGAAACAAAATTCAATTTTTAAAGTGTTATTATAATTCTTATTTTTAAACTCATCAACGTCCAAATTGATGAAATTTTTTAATCGCGATCGATGCACACGGAGAAAAGAATGTAACAAATATTGTTAGAATTACAATAACAATTACTATTTTAAATAGTAACGGTGTGTCATCTATATATTATCAGGAATTTTGCTAATATTAAAACAAATATTCTTAAAGGTATTAAATATTTTACTATAAACTGTTACGCAATAGTGTATGGTAAAAATTTCACCGTCGTAAATTTTATGTTAGAGTAACGTATTATATGTTAAAAAACATAATACTAAATAATATAATCTTAGCAAATGTTGCTGTGCAAGCACAAAATCAATGTATTACTATCTAGGTGAGCGACCATCTGCTGCGTGATAAGGTAGGAATAAGATACAGCGAGCGTGGGGTTAGAGTTGATACGACTAATCGCGAAAAGAATAAAATTTCCAAAATTGTTATTCGAAAGATACGCCTACAAACTACCAATGAGATCAAATCAGTCAATTAATGAAAAAAATTTTTCTTCAAAATTTCATTTACCCACGGAAAATTTGATACAGTTTATATCAATAATTACAAATCTGTATAAGAAAAGTTACTATTCAAACAAGAAATATAGTTACTCATAATGTAAAAATTAATGTAATAAATAGGAAATTTTAATAGAATTCAAAAGAATAAATTTTTCCCACATTAAATAGTAAAAATTACTAAAATGTGTCGATGTCACCTGTTTACTAGATATTATAGTAATTTTTACTGTGAATTCTAATAATATTTGTTAAATTTTTTTCTCCGTGTGCGATTTTTTTCCACATTTTGGGCCTTAAAAAGACTTTGACCAGACATTGTTTTATGTAAAATTGAATACTTTCTTAGAATCCGGACTCAAATTGAAGATTTAATGCTTCGTTCAGAAGTTATGGTTGTTTAAAATGACAAAAATGTAGAAATTTGTGGGACAAATCAACTTCGCAGTCATAAAGTAAAATTTGTATGCATCTGATCACGCAAGATCGTGTACGGGTGAGAATATATAATTTTTTGTTAAAAACAATTGAGTTTAGAGAATGTTTTTCGAGACGGGCTCCAAGATATCTCAAAAACTATAGAAGCTCGGAACGTATAGAAGCTCGAAGAAAAATTACCCTAACAAGTTAATGCGAGTATACAGTCCAGTTTCTCCGAATAAAATCACTCAAGAGCAGAAGCTGCCTGACTTAACGAGCAGCGATAAAAAACCGTAAACTTGGTCGCGTGCACTTCCTTTTCTTTTATCTTCTCGCTTCGAGCCTGTTTTTCCTTCAAGTTTTAGCATTCAATGTCTTATTCAAATCGGTCCGTAATTAAAATTTTCTCGATTCTCAACGCCATCTCTCCGATCGCCAGCGACACCGACGTATCGTTCGCGCAAACAGTCGTCGATCGCTGACTTCGTCGGTGTATATCCCCCATCAGTCGTTAATTCACTCTCGACTCGCTCTCACGAGACACGCACACACACTCTGTAATCTCGACCACATCTACATCGTCATCATGGAAATCACCAGGTTGCTGCTGAACCGGCGACGCCGCTCCAGTCCCAGTCCGAAGAAGGTCGCCGAAATGGCCGCGGCTAGCGACGAGCGCGAGATCAACAGCCTGCGGGCCCGCATCTCGTTCTGCCGCACCGAGCTGCAGGACTTCAACAAGTACGTGGATGGCCTGCAGCTCGACAACAACGGCGACGGCGGCGGCGACGGCGACGGCGGCGGCGACGGCGACGACGAGACGAAGTCCTCCTCCAGCGCTGGCACGAATCGTCGCCGTCGCAAGAGGCCCGCCCACCAGATCCAGGAGATGTCGATGTGGAGCACCTACGCCGAGGGCGTCTGGAATCTGTACTTCGGCCTGAACCTCCAGCTGACCGAGCTGACCTTCGCCGCGAGCACGTCCATCAGCGAGGTGCGCAACGACTACTTCACGGCCGCGGCCCAGTTGGAGCGCGAGCTCAAGCTGAACGGCATGCAGCACAGGCCGCCGGCGAGGAACTTCGTCACTACTGAATTCGGTGAACTGAACTAATTGTGTACTGAGATTATTCGCTTCGATTGTAAAAGTTTTTTAATCGTGTTCTAATAAATCATTCATTCTGAATTAAAAAAAAAAATCACTGATTGTCTCGTCATTGTGTCGTTGTAATTGATTCATTTGATGAAATGAAAGAAGAGTAGGGGAAATAATATTCCAATGTATTTAACATTTGTTTGTCAATATACGATGAAAAAATTACAGATTTTCAACGTGTTATTCTTAGCTATAAATTGAAGTCTCAAAAACTTATTTTCTTTTTGCAAAATTAAAATTTATTTGTACGTAGAAGCAAAAAAAAGACAAGATTGATAAATAACACTTAACTACATATGTTTTCCTCGATCGTTCGTATCGTGATGAGCATATCAAAATTTTTGCCCTAATGCTTGAAGCACGGTTCCGATCGAAATAATATTGTTTGATGAAATTGATGTTCAACCTATAATGAGAGTTAGGTGAAAATTTCACATAGACTTTTTATTACTGCCGCTGCTGCTGCTGCTCGTTCCGAGCCATTGTGTGTCTCTTTGTATTGGCGAGGGCATATTTTTTTGCTTCTTTTCTCATCTTAATGCCTTTTGTCTGGTAGAATATTCATTCTTACAAATAGCTAACAAGAATTTTGCGCCGATTATCGCGTGTAATCCTTTACTTATTTTTTTAGTTTTTGAAAACTCGAGTAAAAGAAGATTCTGTTACAAATTTTTGAGACGAGCTTCATCGTTTTCGCGTGATGCGAAGACAAAAAATTTTTTCTCTGCTTAACTTTGACGATATGTAAATAAGGTACAGCGGTTTTTATCTCAGCGAAACTTGCGTATTTTTTGAATCTGAAAACGCCGTGAGAAAAAAACCTATCAGATAATCGTATGCAATTTTTTTAGTGAGTAATTATACTCAGCCATTTTCTTAAAGAAACGAATATATTTTTCGATTTTTTAATTTTTTAATGTCGCTTTTCGGGATAAAGTCTCATTTTTAGGCCTTAAAATAATTTTAAAGTGTATAATAATATATACTATTGGACTTTTCATAAAAAATCCTAAATTTTGATAGTGTCAAAAAATTTTCTAGATTTTTTCTACTCATTTGCCACTCGCTCGAAAATAATCTTTGCGAAATTTGCGAAAAAAAATATCAAAAAAGTGTGCTTTTTTCAATGAATGCACTTTAATACTCCTGGGTCAAAACTGACTACGCCATTTGATTCTGCAGACAAAAACACTTAAAATATATATTGTTAAGATTATTTTTACTCTCTGAACAGAGTTTTAAATAAATTGAATGGTTGATCGATTTGGTTCACTACACTTTTCAAAGATTTTTAACCCTGCTTTTGTTGTTTCAAAACATGAACTTTAAGAATCGCCATGAAGTAAACGCCATTTTCAACATTTTTGCAAAAGCGAACCACCCTGATAGACATATTATAGAGGCAGAAAAAAACATAACACCGAGAAATTCATCGTATAATTAATAAAAATGATTAATTTAGTCGTCTGAAGAGATCAACTTGATCTTACATTTGAATTTGTGATTGAACATAAATTATAAACATTTATTAGGTCATATTCAGCGAGCAATGCGCTTTATCGATGTGGACTCTCAGATTTCTTTTCTGTCCGAATGTCTTGCCGCATGTCTCGCATAAATGAGTGGTACCATTGTGCGACAATTTGACATGCTTACTGAGCAGAGCTTGATATTTATATTTTTTTTCATAGAAATCACATGGATGGGTGATTTCATTGTGCTCCGCATTCATATGCATTTTGAGATGACTTTTCAGTGTGAAAATCTTTTCGCACACATCACACGCAAAGCCGATTCCATTGTGTACAGTGTCGATATGGTTTTGGAGATAATACTTTGTTGCGAATGTCTTTTCGCAAATATCACATGCATGTCTGACAGTATTATGCACCGAAACGATGTGAGTTTTGAGATTACCTTTTAGTGTGAATGTCTTCCCACAAACATCACAAGCATGTGAAACACCATTATGTATTGATTCGATGTGTTTTTTAAGATTACTCTTGTCTGAGAATGTCTTTTGGCATTTATTACAAGGATGCGTAATTTTATGATGTATTGATTCGACGTGGGGTTTGAGATAAACCTTTTGTGAGAATGTCTTTCCACAAATATTACATGCATGTCTAACACCATTATGCATCGATTCGGTGTGGATTTTGAGATGACTTTTTTGTGAGAATGTCTTTCCACAAATGTCACATGCATGTCCCACTCGCTTGTGCACCAAATCGATGTGCTTTTTTAAATAACTCTTCTCCGCGAACTTCTTTTGGCATATATTACATGCATGCCTTATTTTATGATGCACCGAATCGATGTGCCTATTGAGTTCACTTCTTCGTTTGAACACTTTTCCGCAAGTACCACATGCAGGTGTGATATTGCCATTTCGAGCTGATTCAACGTGAGTTTTTAGCCTATGATTATTGTTAATCTCTTTTCCAGTAATCTCTTTTGAAACACTTCCTGTTTCATTTATCTCGCTGAGTTCACGCCCGAAATTCAAATCAGTTTCTTCTTCGCTAAAAATTTCTTTCTTCACTGACCCGACAGTTTCTAATTTAATGATGCTTCTAGTTTTATAATCATCGCTATGCTGCCTGTGATTTGGAGAGAAATCTTCAATTTTCGCCAATAAATTGGGCTTCATGTCTGTACATTCCATTTCGATTTCTAGGTCGTCCAGTTCACTTGCATGATTTTCGTCATATCCTTGAAGCATTCGGTTCTGAAAAAATGTAAATTACGATGAAAGTTTCAGTAAACTGTGATGAATGCAATAATTATCAACACTCACTGAATTTTCTAGCCAAAACCTTTCGTATTTAATATTTTGAGTAATGGGTGTCGTGTCAATTATTTTATAATCATCATCATTGAGAGGCTCCTCACGAGGCTCTTTTTTTACTCTGAAATAGATTTGATAAGATTGAGTATTTTGTTTGAATATATCCATAGTTTAATTCTTTTCAAATAAAAATTACCTAACGGTAGGATTGAAGATATCTCTCGATTCCATCTTACTTGCTGGAAATATCATTTGCGACTTACTCTGTCAATACTTACGTTACGAGTCGAAGTAGCTCAAAAATAATTCAATAATATTTACTTATTATGATGTGGAAATTGAAAGTAAAGTAAACGAAGCAACATTAGTTTCAACATTAAACAAATTACGTTATCAATTTTTTTATGAGTAATAATACTCAGACATTTTCTTGAAGAAACGAATAAATTTTTTTATTTTTCAATTTTTTTATGTTGTTTTTCGGGATAAAGTCGTATTTTTCTGCATTAAAATAATTGTAAAATGTATAATAATACATACTGTTGGATTTTTCACAAAAACTTTTGGTAGCGTCAAACAATTTTCTAGAGTTTTTCTACTCATTTGCCGCTCGCTCGAAAATAAACTTTGCGAAATTTGCGAAAAAAACTATCAAATCACGCGTTTAATTTGCATTTAAATCTTTTATCAATGAGTGACTGATGTACATTATAAAAGTGCGTCAAAGTCTATCTTTCCTTCTATCTCTTACTATTAAATTTTTTTTAAATTAGAAAATTTATATTATATAAATACGTCGGACTCATTTGCAATGAAATGATTATATCTAAAAAAACCTGAAATTTTACCTCGTGTAAAACTTCGTTACTACAAGTTCACAAGAACTTTTTTCATTGAACACGACTTCTCCAATTTCGGATTTTTTCTCCCCCTCTATATTTCTAAATGTCAAAAATTTTTCACAGCTTAAAATCTACATTGAACAATTTCTTTACTTGTGTTAAAAAATCGGAGGATGAAAAAGAAAAATTGGGAGATCAAAATTAATATTGAATTTGGCATCGATATATAGGACAAAGGATATTCAAACAAACTCGGTCTTTTATGATTCGAAAATTCCACAAGTGACAGACGCTATTTCTTCGTGAAAAACAAAATTCAAACGTAAATTATAATGTAAAGCTGAAAGTTGATTATGAATTAATCGACTTTTTTCGTTTATTGCTTCGTACGAGCGTTTTCATTTTGATAAACATATCGTGGAAACTCTCAATTTTGAATGTACGAGTCCCATAAAGTATTCTTTCCACGCCATAGAGAAATAATTTTTCGAACTAAAGTAGTATCAGTCGCCGAAGATCAAATATTAGTCGCGAAACTATAGTGCCGAGACGATGTAAAATTAAAAAAAAAGATCGATACGATTCAGGTTTATAATTCGCCCAAAGAAAGTATTTGTTTATCGCCTGTATTCGACGCTCTCAACGATTTTATTTACATCGAGCGATTATTCTCGCGTGTCGAGCACACAACAGCCGCGCGGCAGCTGCCACACAGTCGATCTCGCCATCGGCAACGATAGGCCGCAGAGTAATTAATTGATCATGGATGGCGTCCCCATGCTCCTCGGAAATCAGCCGGAAGTCTTGGCCAAGGCCGCGCTGGCCCTCAAGAGGCTCAATCAAGCCATGCTCCAGCTGCATCTGGCCGAGAAGCAGCTCTACTCGTTTCACGACTACGTGGCGGATCTCAGCGAGGTGTACAAGTCGGGCGAGCGCATCGAGAACGAGTCCATAGCGATCCTGGACACGCGCCGACGCGAGGCCCGGCGCAACTTCGACCTGCTCTTCGAGCTGTATCTGCGCTGGGCCGCGCAGGGCTACAGCCTCGAAAACGACATCGGCTACATCAGGAGCGTCTACTTCGCGGCGGACGTTCGGGCCAACGAGCTCTACAACAGGCATCTGCGCAAGTACGGCCGATACTGATCGGCGCGGCCGTTTCGTTCAATCTCGTTTCTTTCTTTGCGAAAAAAAAAGTATGTTTCTCAATTGATCCAATATATGTATTTTTAATCTGCAAAAAAAATTGAACTGCTGTGTTGTTAATTGCCCCTGAATTTTTATCCATCCTAAATCGAGCCTTATGATAATTCTTTAACTAATTGATTTCAATATCGTACACTATTTCATACTAAACGTATACGTCTGAATCGATCTTTAACAATATCGAACGAATCCAAGATTTTTACCCTTTCATCGCTGGAAGCAACTGAAAAGTTCAAAAAACATAATCACATTGCCCGGTCTTTACCAGTGGATGACTTACGAAAATAAATTTGGTCGCTCCTCGCGACGCTGCTACAAATTTCAGAACAGAAACCGATCCGACAGTGAAGAGTTCTAGACTCGATTTTCGTGCTTGGCAGTAATTAACTCACTGCGAATCTGTAACGTTTTTCGTCAATTATACGCTCAGTTAAGGTAGTTGATTTTTGAAAACTCGACGAAAGAAAATCGGAATCATTTAAATAAGATTTTAGATTGGATCAAAGTATTGAGGATGAGGATTTATCAATTATCAATTAGAAAAAATTTTTGGGTTTAAATTAAATTGTTCAACTGATTTTCACATTGGTATTTTCAGTGAAAAATTATTGTCACACTCTCTCTTCATGCCTCTCTTGGCAAATATAATTAAGTGTCCGTCAGCAAATTTATCAAAATCTTACACCTTATAGGGCATGTTTGATCAAATCGGAGCCACGTGACTTTTACAAAAAGTCCAGTTGCCAACTAAACGCTCACCCTCATTAATGGTTTGAATCAAAACATTATGAATTCTTAGTTGATCATTGCACAAGACAAAAACTTTCCGGAGAGTAGTAATTGGCAGCCGTCTGTTTAAAAAATAAAGCACCAAATACGATAGTAAAAAAAGGTTTAACGAGATTATTTTGGCACAATTTTTATTGAAGTTTTATAAAAACTTGTGCTTGAACAGTAATATAAGTAGCTATATATTGTTACAGTGGTCAAGAAAAAATCCAGCGCTCAGATATAACTGCAATGAGTTAAAGTAATTCGTATAAGTAACAAATTATTCATAAATACTAGAGTATCATCTGACGTGAATTTTCGATTATGATAAAAAAGCGATTGAAAAATTATCAAAGAGTTTGTAATACAGCAAGCCATTACAATAAAATTGTATTATCATGATAAACATGGTTATCATAGACATTTAGGAGTTAATATATTCTGGAATTTACACGGAAGAAAGAAGGAAGTCGAAGTGCTGCTGAGACGGGGCGCCCAGCCGCGTTTGGCCAACAAAAACGGATGGACGCCTTTACACGCTATTTGCCAGAGACACGCTCTTCTTACACGTGATTATTATGACAATGACTTGGTGGATATATTCTTCGAGGTCGCTGACGAAATGAATCAGCTGGTACAAATCGACGTGGAGGACAAGTTGGGCCGGACACCCCTTCAATTGGCGGCGACGGATTTCAACTCGAGCTTGGTCGATGTCCTCTTGGATCGTGGGGCCGATCTATCAAGCTTCGTTTTCCTAACCGAGAGTTATTTTGGCAAACAATCGTATCTCCTTCATGGTGATCAATTGAGACTAGCAATCGGCGCTCCGGCCGTCGTCCGTAGCCTCGAAAAAAGGGGATACGAGTTGGACCAAAGCGACGCGCTGATGATCGCGAAATTGTTTTCCGAGCATGAATTATTCGAGAAATCGGGGCATCTTGAAAAATGTTGTCTCAACGACGAGGAGTTCGCGAGCAAAGCAAAAAAGTTGATGATCAATCCGAGCCTGTCGCTCTACGAACTGATTCAGTTACCGGCCGAAGAGGTGGCGAAAATTTTTACGTACGCGGACTACTCGAAGCTCGAAGAATCTTACATTTGGTGCGCACTTCCTAGAGAGAGCAAAGATGCTTGTATCATGCATCTGTGCGAGATGACCTCGAGAAAGTTTTTCCAGCAGTGGGCCCTGGATTATTTCGTGGATCTCCTGCATTACCGACTGCCAGTCGATTGCTGCGAGCCAATCTTGAAACAGCTTACGAATCAAGATTTATACAATATTTACTTGGCGGCTGCAGGCCAAAAATCAAAATAGGAAAAAATGTTATCGTCGTATTTTTCTTATTTTAATTTGAAATAAATAAATTTAATCAATGATTCTCGATTATTATACTGACAAGTACTCGATGTACTATCTTCATTACCACTTTATTTTATCCATACATAATTTATTATCGTCGCTAAAAACAAAGAGTAAAACAATAAAATGTAGGTTTATAAAAACTTGAACGCGTGTCACTTAAATTATAAATGAAAGTATAAACCTACATTCTCGCTGTGATAGCTATAGTACACATGCATTATTTACATTTATGTAAAAATTTCAACATCGTATCGAGTACATCGACTGCTAAAACCTTCGTTCTGAAGGTGAACTTTTTTATGGAATATAGGAAAAATATATTAGCAGTTTTTTATTAGAATCGTGTAGTATAGGATAATCTTAAATTAGTTATCCGATACAAATAATAAAATTCGAATTATAGTATTGAACCATTGGCAATGTATTACGGTAGTTTTCTCAAAAAAAAAGTAACTATCGATAAAAGGTCTTGAAATTTTAACCAAATATTATTGACAGTGCTTTTCATATGTGTGAGAAATTTCAGGAGCTTTAACCAAACAATTTTCGAAGTATAATTAATCAAAAATCGGTACTTTAACACGGGACCCCTATATGCTTGCGTGTCGAAAAGACGCTATTTTGTGTGATTATAAAAAAACGCATCGATATAGTAATTTTCAAAAACTAGAAGATGATTGTTGAGTATGTACTGAAACATAGCTCAAAAACTGGAAAAATTAGACCATACAGTTTTTAAGAAAAGTTAATGTAAAAACATTACAAAAATAAAAATTTAAACTGTTTGACCTGAAACCCACTATTAAAGGTTTTTAGGGTCATTCTAAACAAAAACGTACTCTTGCATATTTTCTCTAAAATCTATTTTGTACCAGCTATAAACGATTCCAATTTAAACAATTTCAAGCAATAAAACTTTGCGATTTTTTATCTCAATAAGTATGAACTCTACGAAAAATATAAAAAGATTTTTTCAGATTTTTCAGATTTCTTCTAAACATATGCGGGGCACTTATGAATGGACTTTCCGAAATTTAAGAAAAAAATGACCGAAAAATTAAATTTTTTCATGTAAAATCATATTCACAAGTCGATACTGATTGCAGCATTCGATTTTACAAATAAAATTACGTAAGAAATCGTCGTGTTAACATAGATTTTACCCTCAAAGCACAGCAGGTAAACTATAATCTTTTTAACACTGCGGGCGCAGAACACGGGTTTTCTAACCTTAGAGCGTCAGAAAACTCTAGTTTCTCGCAAGCAGAGTTAGAAAATATCGTTTGCAACTAGTCCGCGAGGAAGTTGACTCATCCAGGAGTTGTTTTCACCCGAGCGTAGCGAGGGTGCAAAGACTCCTGGATGAGTCAACTGCTTCGCGCACTTGTTACAAAATATACTATTTATTGAGCGATGCTATCAAATTTTCTCACCCCGTTATCAAAGTCAAAAAATCGGTCGACAACTACATAAAGCACCTAACGACATCAGGTAAAAGAGAAACTTCATGTTCTTATTTCAAACCAAAGGATTCTGTCGGTGCTGCCAATATGAAACATTTTTTTTTCAAAACGCACCACGGTAACGTGCAGTATGCAATTATGAAAGTCCAATCGATCGCGCGCGGCACGATCCGCCCAATTATTAGACGAAATTATCATATTTTTTACAATAAAACTTACGAATAAAGTCGGCTTCGGGTTGGTTCACAACTGCTGCAATCGTCGATGTAGCGCAAAGCATCGACGCGACAAGGAGCAGAAAAATCGGCTGCAGAAATGCGACCTTCATCGTGATAGACGAAATTATTAAAAAGAAGAAGAAATTTCGATTCAGTTACTCTCGATGCTGATACATTTCACGAGCGCCGCGTCGATGTTTTATATACGTATGCGAGCACACTTGGACACGAGCCTCGCAGCCGTCGTTGCATGATTAATTGCACACCGAAGAAGTAAACATGGCGTTAATTAATTGACGAGTGTGCAGAAAAAATTTGAAATTCGATGTAACAACACGATGCGTCCACTCGCCTACGCGTAAACGATTTTTATTTTACGATTAATCATTCTGATATTGGATTCATCCTTGGACGATTGCGATGGCATTTGCAAACGCGATCCACTCTCGCGCTTACTGACCATTTGAAAAGATACGATCGTGCGTGCAGAAAATGAAAAAACTAAGAGAAAATTAAGTTTCAGTATTACTGAATGAGCTTTGAAAGCAAAAAAACTTTGTAGTTTGACAGCTTTCATGGCATACATCGCTTACGTTACTACAAGGATATCGAAATTTGATATCGAAGCCATGCAAAAATTGATCTGAAAATCATTTAAACGAATTAAAAACGTAGATAAATGGGAAATGAAAAATCGAGATCTCTACAACAAATATGCCGCTTTACTTAACTACACGCGCCTAACATTACGTAACTGAGGTAGGGGTGCATTGACACGAGTACAAGATTGACAACCGCCTCAGTTACGTATATTATTTTTCATCATCGAGTTCAGGCAGTCGATTTTAAGATTTTCCCGCACGCTGTGATGAAAACATATTTTTCAATTCACAATTTCTTTGTAATACAATTCAGAGAAAATTTCTAATGGATTATTACGCCGGAGATCTATAGTATGATTTCTCCAATAATAAATAGTAAGTTTAGAGTGTCTCTGTTGACATAAATTTTCTCAAACTTTCATTTCACGATTTGTAAATACGATCAAGTTACCTAGTTCGATGTGTAACATCATTACAGAACAATTAGTCGTTGATCAAGTTCCGAGTAAAAAACATGGACTTCAATGGCGTACATATCAGGTAATTTTCATTTTCTGGAGAATGAAATTTAAAAAAAAATGGCATAATACTTTATATTATTGGGAATATTGCAGAGTGAAGGAGGAGCCAGATGATGATTCCCCGATCGAAAATGATGATTATCAGATAATTGACAATGCACACGATGCGAACACTAAAGAATCCTTGCGATGTCGAGAAAATTTTGTAAGTGTTCATATAGCACTGTTTATAGCTGACATTTTCAACAACAATTTTCCCTAATCTTGAATTCAAATTATTTTTCTAGACTCGTGGCCCTGACGATATCGAAGTAGAATTCGAATGTAAGGACGAGAAGCTCGACATTAATTTATTAACAGTCAGAAAGATAGAGGACGATTATCCAGATCATTTGCAGCATATGGAAAATAGTTACGATAATAAAACCCAAAAGAAAATTAAAAAAGAAATTGAGGACGAAATAAAAGAAGAATTGAATTCGGATGATGAACTCAGTGATGCATTTGATGCAAATGAAAAAACATTTGCTCAAAAAATTCTATGCGAAACTCAAACTGATAAATTACGCATTCGTGCCAAACATCCATGTAATATATGCGGTAAAAAATTTTCACGAAAAGATAATCTCAAGATCCACATCGATGCAGTTCATAATGGTGTTAAACATGAATGTGGTATATGTGGAAAGACATTCACACAAAAAGGAGATCTCAAGATTCACATCGATGCAATTCATAATGGTATTAAACATGCGTGTGGTACATGTGGAAAGACATTCACACAAAAAGGAAAGCTCAAAATTCACATCGATGCGATGCATAATGATAAGGCACCTACTTGCGAAATGTGCGGAAAGAAATTCGCATACAAGAGTGGTCTCAAACTCCACATGGATGCAGTGCACAATAAGATAACTTACACATGTAATGCGTGCGGTAAAAAATTTGCACGAAAAGATAGTCTCATAGTCCACATCGATTCAGTACATAATAATGTTAAACATGCATGTGGTATGTGTGGAAATACATTTACACAAAAATGTGCTCTCAAAAGACACATCGATGCAATGCATAATGGTATGGCACCTACTTTCGAAGTGTGCGGAAAGACATTCACGCAAAAAGGAGATCTCAAGAGGCATATCGATGGACATAATGGTGTTAAACATGCGTGTGGTACTTGTGGAAAGACATTCAAACACAATGGTACTCTCAAAATTCACATCGATGCGATGCATAATGGTATGGCACCTGCATGCGAATTGTGCGGAAAGAAATTTCAAACGAAGGATAAACTCAAGATCCATATCGATGGAGTACATAATGGTGTTAAACATGCGTGTGGTGTGTGTGGAAAGACATATACTCAAAAAGGAGATCTCAAAGTCCACATCGATGTGATTCATAAAGGTATGGCACCTACTTGCGAAATATGTAGTAATACATTTGCACGTAAGAGTAGTCTCAAACGCCAAATGGATGCAGTGCATAATAAGATAACTTACGCATGTAATACGTGCGGCAAGACATTTTCTCAAAAAAATCGTCACGTAACTCACATTAAAACGCAGCATGAAGACATTGCATAAGTTATCTGTGGAGAAAAATTTAAACATAGAAAATATCTATACAGACACATCAAAAGTGAGCATAAGGGCAATACCCAATCACGAGATCAAAGCAAAAGATCATAGAACGTCTATCAGTACCATGCAAAATGATGAAATATCGAGACAAACGAGTAGCCGTAAAACTGCCATCGAATAGCGCATCACTCTCGCATTACCACCCAATAAATGTATCAAGTGTACTTTGAAATTTTGTAAAAAACAATTACTATTATATTTTGGATCACTTCTATGTTTTCCATCTGACTGCTTAAGAAACGATCAAATTTAAGTAAATTGATAAACTATTTTTATTACAAAAAAACATGATGTTTCATTTGAATCAATCTATATCTATAATTTTTATCGATCTGTTCGGTTTTCTTAAACATACAAATTATAAAATGAAGATTTTCGCAGAAGGTGAATCTTGCATAAAAAGACAAATTAATTATTCATAATCGTCGTTACGACATCGCTGACTTTACGATTTGTCGCACAATTTTTCACGATACGCCTCACGCGAATCCAAAAGAATTACAAGAGTTCTCCCCCTCGCACGCGCTTCTTCGTCGAAAATATGTGTTCCAACTATACAACAACATATCTAACGTCGCATTTTCTCACAGATAAGAAAAAAGTAAGAAACTCGTCGTCGATTACGCATATTACAGGGCCCTAGCCATAAGTGCTGTGTGTAATATCTCGTGCGTCTGTGATCCATGCACTATAATACGGTGTAACGAGTGGCATAATCATCGGCGCACACAACAACCAACCGTATGCAGCATGTATACAAGTAGATGTTTCGTATTTATTTTTTTCCCAAAGTTTTTATAAATACACAATTGCCGCAAGGATACATCGATTCTGGGCATCTTGTATACAGACCGAAATCAATAACGAGACATAAGCTTGCTCGCACGCGGGTTGACGTTATTTCTCGCTCGAAAAAAAGTCGCTCGCCTCTCGTTAGCTCTTGTCACTCTGTTGATGTATTAAATTCATTCCTCGAGGGCTAGGCTCATACCCTTTAGCTAAGCATAAGATGAACTTCAGCTACTTGCATTGCAATTTTTCTTCCATATACTATTCATTTATTGGTTTCAACTAATAGTATATTCTAGATATATCTAGATAATAGTATATCTAATTTTTTCTACTTCATTCAAATGTGTTTTTTTCTAACAAACATTTCATTTTATTATTTTTATAACTGAGTCTTACATTAATCGGTTTTAAATAATTATTTCAAGATATAGACGATCAAAAATGAGTTTCATAGTTAAAATAAATATTATAGTTGTAACGGCCAGATTAAAATATTACCTACAATAATTTTTTTGAAAAAAGAAAAAAAAACGATTACCACTATGATAAACAATTAAATTACGTTTGCTTTTAGATAAATTTTCACTAATTAAGTTACTGAAAATCAAAAAAAAAGAAGACTTCATAAAAGTTATTAAATGGTTAAGAAAAAATGTACCCTTGTAAATCTTCTCAATTTTCTTACTGACAGCGAAAATGAATATTTTAACTGAATTTCATGCACACAAATAAACTATTGCGACGACGATTACAAAACTTTTCCGAATACTTTCTCGGTTCAAAGTTGAAATTTCATTCAGTTCGCGTGTCTTTGGTAGAGCTTGAAAATTTAGGCACATATGTACAGATCGTCGAGAGTCGTGCCTTGTGGGAGTTTTGCACGTCCTTTTATTAACCCGTTTCGGGCCAAACGGACGAAATTTTAGTTATTTTTTCACTCGCTGTAAACTCTGTGAAAAAATTATGTGAGAAATGTCAGAATAGTCATAACCGACGTAAAATTTTATGAACTTTTCGAATCTGACGTCACAATTGTCAAAAAAGTTGATGTGGAAAATTTATGAACAATTAAACAATAAAAAACACGATTTTTTTGAAAAAAAATTTGATTTGATCCGAATTTTCGAGTCGAAACAGACTTGCTCTATAGGTCTAACACGTTTTTTTGCGTCCATTTTTTTAGTGACAAAACTGAACATTGTAGCACGTCGATATTAATTTTTTCCATCTTACAAAGCCTGTGCTCGCCAGTGCCACAGTCTCACTGAAGTAGAATAGATGACCCTTTCATATTATGAATAGGGCTGTGCGAGTATCCGATTTTTTGAGTTTTACTCGACTCGAACTCGACTCGCCGAGTTCGAGTCGAGTTCGAGTCGAGTCGGGAAAATTCGAGTACTCGAGTTTTTTCGAATACTCGATTTTTTCTCGAGTACTCGAGTTTTTTCGGGTACTCGAATTTTTTCGAATAATCGATTCTTTTCGAGTACTCGCAATGTATTTAAATTTTAAGTAAATAAATGGTGAATCAACAGTCTCTAGACCACCTCTCTTTGTGTGTACATGCTTATAAGTTTGATATTCGCAGCGGATTGGATTGGAAGAAGAAAATAATTTAATTGTACCGCACTTCATCACACTAACAATCACGTACACACAAAAGGAGGGGTCTAGAGACTGTTAATTCATCATTTATTCACTTAAAACTTGAATATATTGCGAGTATTCGAAAAAACTCGATTACTCGAAAAAACTCGAGTACCCGAAAAAACTCGAGTACCCGAAAAAACTCGAGTACTCGACAAAAACGCGAGTACCCGAATCAACTCGAGTACTCAAAAAATCGAGTACTCGACTCGAACTCGAGGAAACAACTCGAACTCGACGAGTCGAGTTTTTTCGAGTACTCGCACAGCCCTAATTATGAAACTCCTTTTTTATTAAAACTGAAGCTCCTCGCTTATAATAAATAAACTTTTCCAGCCTGTACAAAAAATAATTTTAGCTACAGATCTCTAGATACACACTTAAATTCTGTACATAATCAGATCAAACCATTCCAGTGTGAAATTTGTCACAAATCATTTGGATTTTCAAGCGATTTGAAAAGGCACATGGATGCAGTTCATGAACGTAGAAAACCCTTTGAATGCGAGATTTGTCACAAATCGTTTAGTCGCAAGGATACCCTCAAAACGCATATAACTACAGTACATAATTGTAGCCAATCCTTCGAGTGCGAGATTTGTCACAAATCATTTGGACAGCAAGGAAATCTCAATGTGAATGTGGAACCATTTGGACAAAAAATTCACCAGATTAATCATATTAATTCATAAAACATATGCGTAGCAAACCCTTAGAATGCGAGATTTGCCAATAATCATATTGTCTCAAAGGAACTCTAGACATATAAATTCAGTACATAATCAGACCAAATCATTCGAGTGTAACATTTGTCACAAATCATTTGGACAACATGGAAATCTCAAATCTCACTTAAATGCAGTGCATAGTCGAAATAAACCTTTTGATCGTGAGATTTGTCATAAATCATTTGGACAAAAAGGTACTCTCAAAAAATTACAATAGTTCAGTACATAACTGGAGCAAACTCTTCGAATTTGACATCTGTCACAAATCTTTTTTTTTCGAAGTCACTTCAAACGTCCCTCAATGGCAGTGCATAAACAAACCATCAACTAAAAAGCAACCTGAAGAAACATTTAATGACAATACATTATCAGAAATAACCTTTTGAATATGAAATTTTCCTGAAGACATTTTGCGACGAAATAAAAACTTCTGCAATGACATGAGTACGGTGTATGCTACGAAATTTTATAACAACATTCATAATATATATCTTTTGATTTTGTGAAAAATAAAGTATGTCAACATGTTATCAATTTAGTCGCGATTTTGAAAAACCGTTCATATCATTTGATTGAATAATGATTCGCATTTATGGCTCCCCGTTGTTTCCATTGTATGCGTATCTCAGCTCTTGTACATTAACCCATGAACGTCCAAAGCGACGAAAATGTTTTTCACAATCGACACGATTTTTTTACATGTTTTAGGCATAAAAAAAACTTTATTTGTATATAGATTCGGAATATGAACTTTATTTGTATATAGACCGGAAATTAATATCAAGCCTCTCAATTTGTGTTGTATCGTACGATGTGTTTACATTGTTGCTTTGGCTCTTGACTCGACGCGACGGGTAAGAAATCGGATCGTATTTCGAGTCGTATCGACTCGAGCAAGCGATTCTCGTGGAAAAAAGCCAATTAGTGAGTGCGTGAAAAATGCTAGCCCCGGAAGAGCAAAACTTAATTGACAAGGCCAACTTGAGGCTCCAAGAACTGAGCCGCGAAGAAGCCGAACAACTCATGATCGACGGAATCCAGAGCATGACCGAACAGGAAATTCGAGCGAGGATAGTTCCGGCGAAGGTCCAATTTGTGATCGACTCCAACTACACGGACGAGCCCGAGCTGGGCGAGGACGGCCAGCCTCTGTTGCGTCGCACCACCGCGATACATCACGCGGACAGACGCGGCCTGTACTGGATCGTCTGGGATCTCTTGATGACGATATACGACGCGAATTACACCGACGAATTCGGAGTGTCGCATTTTCACCTGGCCTGCAAGTACAACTTCCGGGAGTTCGTGGACAAATTTCTCCGCGAAGGGGTGCATCCCGATTGCCTCCCGCCAGAGCCGAGCGCGAACTCGGTCGATCCTCCGATATTTCTGGCTGCGGCCAACGACGACGCGGGTTTGATGGAATTATTGTTTTTGAATGGGGCCGATCCAGCTTTAAAAAGCCAAAATAAAGAGACAGCTTGGGACGCTTACCGCCGCGTATCGAAGGCTGCACTGGCCAAGATGAAAAAAAGGAGAGCACGATACTCGAGAAAGTTTCGAATGAGAACGTGAAAAATGTTGCAAGACAGTCCTGTAAAGCTATTTTACTAGCTGTATTCGCGTATATATAATTACGAAAATAAAAGTATTCACTTCGGCGAATTTTTAAAAATAAATCAATTAAGAAGTTTTGATACAACGTCTGGTTTCATATTTTTATAAACTTTGCATCGCGTGTTTGAAATATTTACAGGTAGAAGCTCGTACAAGTAAGTTATTTTTCGCGTTGAAATAAGATGTAAGGAGAGAAATTGAATTGAAGAAAAGTAAAGATACGATATTCTTTGTCAACTCAATTTCTTGATCAGCTGTTGGACAGGCACGATTCCTGGTTTTCGAGACATTTTTCATCCCGAAGAAATTTATTGGCGAAGAATGCGTTATTTCAAGGCTTACGATTCGAATGGAAGGAAAAATTATTTACGAATAAGGTTAATCACGTCTGAATGTAGTCAATCATGTATTGCACACTCACCGACGCGATATAAGCTGCCAATTATCTGCTGCAAAAAAATCATCGAGAAGCTTTCGAACGAAAATTTGTTACATATTTGCTTGGCAGACGATGGCCAAAATTAATAACAAGTTACTTAATAAATAAGTATTAAATTAGACAGTACACGAAATATGCATAAATATTCGTACATAAAAGCGAATATAAAAAATATCACAATGAATTTTTTATGATTATCGCATGTACAGTTCATTAAAGTGTTTGCCTTGAAAATTAAGTGTTAAAATTGAAATACTTGCAACTAAAAATATACTTCTGTAGTGACTCGACAAATTAGTTTCGATGTAAACAGACTTTCAACGGCTGAATGTATGAGTTCAAAGTATACGTAAGATGTGAAACGAAGACAGTATGTAAATAGTAGCACCAGTCGATAGACGGTATAATTTAAAAGTAAAAAGTTGAGAGATTTTTACAATGTCAGCTTCGGAAAAGCAAAGATTAGAAAGTAAAAGTGGCAATTTACGTCACAAATGCGACGAGTGTGGTAAGATTTTCTTAACTGAGAAAAAATTGGACGATCACATAAATGGAGTTCATTTGAAACAGAGAAATTTTGTTTGCGAAAATTGTGGACGATCTTTTGCCACAAGGCGTGGTTTGAAAATCCATGATATAAATGTCCATCAAAAGATAAAAAATTTCACGTGCGATACGTGTGGAAAGGCTTTTAGTTACAAAAGAGTCTTGGATGAGCACATTACTACAGTTCATGAAAAAATTAAAGATCACAAATGCGAAGAGTGTGGCATGTCTTTTGGACGAAAGTGGACTCTGACGAGGCACATAGATGCAGTTCATTTGAAACCCATAGAAAAAGTATGTAACGAATGTGGAAAGTTCTTTGGTGATAAAAGTACAGTCAAAACACACGTGGCCACAGTTCATGAAAAAATCAAAGATCACAAGTGCGAAGAGTGTGGTAAGTCTTTTGGACTAAAGCCCAATCTGATGAGACACATAGATGTAGTTCATTTAAAACTCAAAGAGCATATATGCTTCGAGTGTGACAAGTCTTTTGGGCTAAAGTGTGTTCTGATGAGGCACATAGATGCAGTTCATTTGAAACTCAAAGAGAACATTTGCAAAGAATGTGGGACAGCTTTTCTTCGTAAAAGTGACTTGAATAAACACATTATTACAGTTCATGAAAAAATCAAAGACCACCAATGCTTCGAGTGTGGTAAGTCTTTTGGACTAAAGCCCAATCTGATGAGACACATAGATGTAGTTCATTTGAAATTTAAAGAGCATACGTGTGGAGAATGTGGAAAGTCTTTTGTTGAAAAAAATAAGTTGAATGAACACATTTCCGCAGTTCATGAAAAAATCAAAGATTACAAATGCGAAGAATGTGGTAAATCTTTTGGACGAAAAGGTTCTTTGATGAAGCACATAGATTTAGTTCATTTGAAACTCAAAGAGCATCTGTCAAAGAATGCGGAAAAACCTTTAGAAAGAATAGAGATGTGAAGAGACACATGATTGCAGTCCATCAAAAAATTAAAAATTAGCTACCTGACGTGTTTTTGGGTACAGTTTGACAGCAGATCACGATTGAAGTGAATTCAAGTATCTCTAATGAATGAATAAATCAAAACAGTTGCTGACGTGAAAAAAGTTTCTGTTGCACATCGTATAATTGTAACCGAGTTCAAGAACACGAATACAATAATATCTGAAGAGTAATGAAAAATTTGCCTAAATCATTTTCTTCACAAAAGTGACGAAAAACTGGCCATTCCTTCTATTCATCGACTCGAATAACTCAAAAATATAGCATCGTAGTCTGCGAATACTATACATTATTAATTTTTTTAATATTTTTTCCTGTATTGACTCAAACTTTTGTTCAAAATATACGACACTAAAAAATTTTTTTAATCGTCAGAATATTCTCATGTTTAAGAATAATGCTCATTCCTATTTGTAAATAAATTTTTCTGATATAAAAAATTAGGAACTCATTGACAATGAAATTACGATGTGCTGAAATTTTATAAAAAAATGTACAATAGTCAAAAATAAAAAATAATATTTCGCAATTTTATAATAAAATTTAAAATTAGATTAACGAACAATTTAAAATTAATTGTAATCAAACATTGGAACTTATCTTAATTCAGGCTTAAATTATTATGTAAAAATTAATTTACCTTCAACGCGAACCAAAAAAGCACAAAACAAATAATTATAAATAACGCTTTTATGATATTATTAAGTTGAAAAACAGTTGAAAATTAATTGCAACCAATAAATTACTTTATAAAATTAATTTCAAAACAAAATTTTTGCGATAAAATTAATATAAATATCTGTATAAATATAGCAATTCTCAATAAATTTTTGAAAATAGACAACTTTGTTCTCGCCCCATTCGCAGTTCCAAATAAGACGAGCGAAAAATCCTCAGCTGCTCTCAGCATTATGAGCTGCACGAATCGAGTTCACAAAAAATGAAAAGAAAAATGAAACATCTCAACGACAAAGTGCGAAGGTATAAGGATAGTTGATAGCAGGTTGGACACAATCATCTCGGCGAAATTGAAATTTTAAAAACATGGTTGTAAGTATCTGTATTTATTTACAATTGTCAATCATCCTTTATTCTCGTCATTGTGGCCTGCTTCATCTTTGCAAACTTTTTGGTGTTTTGCCACTTTCGTGGACTGTATTTTGTTTTCTTCACAAATGGCTTTGAATCCCAAATTTCATCTCGCATTTGTCTCCTATGTTATACTTTGTGACCTTTATGAACAGTCCTTAAGTGGACGAGCAAACTCGATTTTTGTGTAAATTTCTTTTCGCAATTATTGCATGGATAATCTTTTCGACCTTCGTGGACTATCTTTTGATGTTTCTTTAACGTCGATTTTCGTTCAAATTTTTGCTCGCACTTGTCGCATGCGTAATCTTTGTGACCCTCGTGGACTATTTTTTGGTGTCTTGCTAAAATGCTCCGTTCTCCAAATTTCTTATCGCACTTGTCGCATGCGTAGTCTTTCAGACCGTCATGGACTACTTTTAGATGTTTGATAAGATTGCTCTGATCCCCAAATTTCTTCTCACACTTTTCACATGCATAATCTTTGCGACCTTCGTGGACTGTCTTCTGGTGCAAAAGCAAATGATGTTTAAGTCCAAATTTTTTCTCGCACTTGCTGCATTCGTGATCTTTTTGACCTTCATGGACTGTTTTTTTGTGCCTGATCAAAACATTTTTTTGTCCGAATTTTTTTTCACAATCGTCACACTTATAATCCTTACGACCTTCGTGTATCGTCTTTTGGTGGGACAGCAAAAGCCATTTATGTCCAAATTTTTTTTCACAATCGTCACACTTATAATCCTTACGACCTTCGTGTATCGTCTTTTGGTGGGACAGCAAAAGCCATTTATGTCCAAATTTCTTTTCGCACTTGTCGCAGGAAAAATCTTTGCTTCTCCCATGGACTGTTCTTGCGTGTAAGAGCGAATTCGATTCAATTTCAAATTTCTTCCCGCAATTGTCACTTAAGTAATCTTTGAGGACTTTAAAGGTAAAATCTTTCTGACCCTCGTGTACTGTCTTCACGTGAAAGAGCAAATGGGATTTTTTCCCAAATTTCTTTTCGCAATTGTTGCATGCAAAATCTTTGCAATGTTCGTGGACTGTTTTTATGTGTGAGTGCAAACTCCTTCTACTTCCAAATCTCTTGGCACACTTTTCACATAAGTGATCTTTGAAAACTTCGTGGAATATTTTTTTATGTTTGAGTAAAGTCGATTTATTTTCAAATTTCTTCATACAGTTGTTGCATGAGTAATCTTCGCGACTTTTGTGTACCAACTTTTGATGCGTAAATAAACTCGATTTTTTCACAAATTTTTTCTCGCACTGGTTGCATGCAAAATCATTGCGACTTTTGTGTTCTGATATTTGGTGTCTATTCAAATGACTTCGAAATTCGAATGTCTTTTCGCACTTGTCGCATGCGTAATTTTTTTTATCATTGTGAATTGTGTCCCGGTGGGTTATCATACTTGATTCTAATATGAATGCCTCTTGACAAATATTACAAACGTGTTGTTTATCTTCTGAAGAAAGTATGTTCTTATCACTCAACTTGACGTTTGAGACAATTTCCTCTGATTTATTCTCACTTTTATCCATTTTGGTGCCTCAAATAAACAACGGATTCTTCTATTCAGGAAATTGAATGAGTAAAACTTATCTATTGATGTTATAGCTCGTTTAATCGGAAATCAAAGCATTCAAACTAATTTGTTCTTATTATAAACACGATCAGTGTGTCAAGGAATGATGCGAAAATCGTTTATGATCATATTGTTTATAATCAAGTTACTGATTTATCTGTTATACATCATTCTCAAAATATTCGAAAAAATTGAATAGTCTAACTTGCTGACAATTCCTTCAAGGAATTTTTATGAGCGCTAATATTATAGTTCTCATAAATATATAAAACAATATGCTTGACGCGATGAGCCGTAAACTAAATTTCAACAATTTAATGTTTATTCGAAATATAAGTGAGATGTGATATATGTGGAAAGTCTTTTGGTGAAAAAAATAAGTTGAATGAACACATTTCCGCAGTTCATGAAAAAATCAAAGATTACAAATGCGGAGAATGTGGCAAATTTTTTGGACGAAAGGATAATCTGACGAGTAATATTGATGCAGTTTATTTGAAACTTAAAAAGCACATGTGCATAGAATGTAGGAAAGCTTTCAGTCGGAATATTGATTTGCAGAAACATGTGGGCGCAGTCCATCGAAAAATTAAAAATTAGCCATCCGAAGAATGTGACATCTTTTTGTCCGACTTTCGTGGATTGTAAAAGCAAATAAGGTATTAGTGGAGTGATTGAGGTATCTTATAGAATAAGCAAATAAAAATTGTTATATCGACGTCATCTACTGTAAAAAATAAACTGCAGTCGAACAGTTTATACGTTAATAGCAACTAAATTCAAGAACACAAACATTAAAATTTCTGAAGAGAAATGAAATTTTTTGTAAATTAATTTTTTATTTTGATACTGATTATTGAACTTTATTCAGAACTTCATATACTAAAATTTTAAAATCACTAAAAAATTGAATCCTCATTTAGATTCAGCGACTCAAATAACACCAAAGTTAACCATGGTAATCCGTAGATGCTAGACTTTTTTGACTTATATTTTTCCAAAATGTACGACACTAAACAATCTTTTTATTAATAGTAGAAATATTTCTACCATTTATAAAAGTATTCTTATTTTGTAAATAAATTCTTCTGGTATGTGAAAAGTAAAATTGACAATAAAATTACTTTACTTGAAAATAAAAAACCTACATCCAATTCCATATACGACGTCGTAGAGTAAGTAACAGCGAAAGATATCGTCAACTGCAGCATGAAATCGATAAACTAGTTTTATTTTGCAAGCGTACTACAGGCTGTATCTATTGCAACATTTCGATATTGAATACCCGCTCGCTCGAAGGAGGAAAATGTAACCTGTTCTCAAAAACTGATGACTTTTTACTTGTCGATCCCTTGATTTATATAGGTGTGATTGTGATTACACTACTGACCGAAGTAATTTGAATGACTGACATAAATATAAGTCTTTGTACTCATTTATTTCCTTATCTATTTACCAATGCATATCGCTTGCTCGTGCGCTGCCCAATGACCAGAATTTTAAATTAAACTAGCTCTGTCGTTACTCATATAACGTAGAAATTAAAATTTTTTACTTGTGGATTTGAAAGTGACATCTAGCGGACTAATTCAAAACTAAGTACAACGCTACGTTGATTCATCAAGGACTCGCATTAGCTCACCTTCAAGCGCATAAGTGTGATAAGTTACTGAAATAGACATTTTCTGGTCTTGAAGCGAAAAAAATTTAATTCAAATCAGATCGGAGAAGTTTCGATTTAGTTGTGAAGCCAAAAGAGAGATCATATTGAATTGAAGTAGACCCATGCAAATCAGTTAGCGTGTTCATAACTTTTTTTATAATAGATTATTGCGCCAACATATGAAGCATGGTAAACTCGCAATTGACAAAAAAAATTCCGATTAGTATTTATTTTCAAGTGTCATCAGGCTAAGGTTAGAACTGCCGATTTACCCTGACTCTTACTACAAATACATTATTCATTACAAAGCTCTGTGGTGAGCTTGGTTTTTACGTTTTTTTTTACCAGGATGAAGTTATTTTTGAAAACATTTGAGCGGGAATGTGAACGTAAAGCAGCGTGAGCTGCTAATTTAATATCTAAAACGTAGATTCATTGAATATTTTAAAAGCTTCATCAAGAAAATTAAATTATATTTTTTTGCATGATCAAAGGGGTTTCTCGCAGCGTTTTCTGAGTGATGGTGAAAGAGGAGCAGACGGGCTATAATTTAAGTTTAAACAAAAAATGCTAAGACGTATTTTTAAAATTTTATTTATTCATTTATTCAAATAATCTTAAAAATCTGCAGTATACTATATTAAACATTGAAAAATATAACAAGTAAGTTCATTTTTTTATAATTTGTATTCTAGCTGTTTTTTCACCGTCCGAAGTACTTCGAGTTCGAAAATAATGATCGAAGATCAACGTACCCGGATTCTCCGTGTGCCTTCTCGCTTCGCTCGTGAACTCCTCGTCGACGTAGGGCAACATCTCAAACAATTCGTGGTCAATAAAAAGTTTTATAATCGTCAGGACGTCGCTTAGGCACAATTCATATCCTCCACTTTCAAGACTCTCGACGACGTCCAGCAAGGCAGACGCCTGTATTATTTTTTTGCAATTTAATTCAGTAAAACCGCTGGGCCAAGACGCCATCTCTTCGAACGTCGACAGCGCGAAATGCCTCTCGGTGGGAAAGACGAAGCTCGACAGATCGGCGCCGCGACGCAGCAGAAACTCCACCATGTCCGGCATGAGACTGGCCACGGCCAATTCCAGCGGTGTCCGGCCCAACTTGTCGCGGGCGTCTACATCGATCGGACGATACTCGACGCGGCCCAGCTCGAACAGCATCTCCGCCATGAGCAAACTACCGTGGCCCAGCGAGATCGCGTGCAGAGGCGTCGATCCCGCGCGATCGGTCGCGTTCGGATCGGCGCCGCGTCTCAGCAGCGATTCGACCTCGTCGTCGAGGTCGTCCATCACGGCCGAGTGAAGCGGCGAGTCGCCGCCGCCGGTTTCTGGCACGAGCTCGAGAAACTTTCGAATCGCATCTTCGCAGCCGTACTCGCAAGCCACGTGAAAATGCGTCAATCCGAGCTTGTCGGTGAAATTGACGTCGAAACTGTCGTATATCTTGAATAGCTCATTGACGATGCTTTTGTCCGAATCGCATCGAGACGCGACGTGCAGAGGTGTGGTGCGACGCGACGATGGCTTGCCGTCTTCACCTAGCTCCGGCTCGTCCTTGTAGCCGGTGCGAGCCACGAACTCGATGAAACACTCTCCTGCGTCGACATCCTGGTCTCTTTTCACAGACCTTATCGAATGTTTAAGAAGCCAATCTATCCGATCGGGCCGTAAAAAGTCTCGAAGATTCGGAAGTTGGCCCTTCCATTCGCTGAATAATTTTTCCAGTCGACGGAGAAATTCGTGTCGCTCCTCGTCGATCTCCCAATTATACTTATCGCGCAGGCTCTTCAATTTAAATTTAAACATTGTTCAGCACTCTCACTGTTCACCCTCGACTATTTTTTTTTTCACGACAGGTAAATCCGCACTCGACTACGATCTTGCTTCGTCGGTGTATACGCTGCGAAGTCGCGTATCGAACTGAGCGCGGCGGCGCGGCACTGGTATCTGCACGTCGCACGCATCAACCCGCCGCACAGGCCACGAGTATATAGGTTTGAGTCGACAGCCTTTTAATAGCGCAATAACAAAACACGTATCGCACAACGCAAAGCGAGATTTAACTTGCATATATACGGCAAACAAGTATACGCAAGTTCAGCACAGACTTGTCTCTAACAAATTCTCGCGTCTACGAAGGATATCAATTTTGATTTGAGATAATTTACTTTTCAATCTCAATCAGGGGCCTTGTATATTTCTTATCTCGGAACGAATTCATTTTTTTAAATGAAAACTTCTCTAATCACGCTATGCGTGGGAGATCAAGCTAACGTGAAAAACGAAAGTTCGTTGATCGATCGATCGCGATGATCGATAGAAATTCATAGTTATATAGCCGCTTGGGTTGCCAAGTATTAGGCGCTCGTCTACTGTTACGCGCTTGGCGCTCATTGGCTTTGTAAAATCTATGCAGCGGCCTGTATAACTCTGTCTCTCTCTCTCTCTCGCGATACGAGTATTCGGGAGAGTCGCTCGATCGAACGATCGCACGCATGAGAAATAACTCATGCTTCGTGTATGCTTGGTGTCGCAGTCTCTGTATTCGCGACCCTACATGAGCACTTATGACTATTAGCGAGGCCTGAGATTACGACTAGTCGTAGCATCGGATGCCGATTGTCGGAACAAGCAGCTATCGCTCTGTGCAGCGAGCTTACTTATGACCCGATGAAGCGAGTCAATGCGAGATGCTGCGTGTGGCCTAGCCTGCCAGGCTCAAGTAATAAAGTTAATATTCAGTCTACCCGCTCGACTCTCTCTCTCTCTCTCTCTCACACACACACACACACACACACACACACACACACACACTCATATCCAACTAAGTAAAAGCAATCAAAGGGTGTCTTCTCTACCCACGCATACCAATTAATTTTTTTCTCGCCAGAGTAAGCTCGAGGACGAAGCTTTTCGTCGTGTTAACAATTATCTCGATCAGAGAGAACACGGAACAGGTTCTCTGGCTCGCATGCGTTACACCGCGCGGCCAGTTTTCACTCGCAGCAAAACAAGCTTTGCTTGTATAAGTCCATCGACGTGGACAAAAACCAACGATCCGCCTTGGACGGGCCTTTGAGCCACGCCAGCTCAACAGAGCGCGAGGAAGATCATCATCATCGGGCCATCGACGGCAATTGCGAGCAGCATCAGCTGTGGCTTGCAACAGCGGCAGCGAATTTCGGCATTGAGCGAACTTCGGCAACGAGCAGCAGTGATGGCGAGCACGTCTCGGCGGAGATGAACATCATATCTCTAAGTTTGATGTTGACAACCTCTCATATTATGAGCGACGCAACTTAGCGGTCGTGTAAGGTGTTTCTTTCTTATTCGCCCAACTACATCCGAGCGTGCGTTTTCGCCATACTTAACTTTAGGAAAATTTATCTCTTTCATTAAATAGTACGCCTGCTGTTTGCCGATGATTCTCGTAAAATTAATAGATTTTTGAGAGGAGATTTTCGTCGGCGCTTGTGGTGCCTTTATACTGCTTTTGCACTGTCGTCACTCTTGCTGCTAAAGTTGATCGACCTTTTTAGTCTTTTCTCATCAACCCGCGGTTGGGTAATCTTCTGTTGTGTCAGTCAGCCGGGCTCCCTCATATGCCTAGAACTCAAATTTTTTGATCGCGCGTGCGACACATTGAGCCGACGCTCTCTAGCGGCGGAGAACTCAACCAGGTTGCATTTGCCCTGTTCAAACATCTCTTTTTGGTACACCTTCTACGATAATTTCAGGCCAGAGTCAACAGTTCGAATCCCATCTCTTTACCGAATTTACTGAGATTCTAGGTTTAGAGCTTTTAATAACTACTGATGATGGTTTGATCGAGAGGTAACTGAGAGTAGTGAGATGCACTTTGTACGAACGTAAAACGTCAGAAAACCCAAAAGAAGAAAAAATTTAACTCGCAGAGTGTACGAAAACAGCTGTATCTCAGTAAATAATCAAAAATTTTAAGTTTTGAAAAATGCAATGGAAAGGGGACAAAGAATCCTACTCAAAAATGAAATTAAATTTTTTTTCGATTTCAAGCCCCCTTTGAGCCCTTAAGCAATTTTGATTTTTTGAGAAATTGTTTATTGCAATGACCAACAACACAAAGTCGCTGAATTAAAATATTTATTGTTTCTTCACACAAAAATCACTCGTCGCCGTTAGCGCGACCTCTTTCAATAGCTGTTCACGCTGTGGCGTCGTAACGTGTACCGAAACAGCGCGCGACTCGATGTCATAACTCGGAATGATTTGAGACTAAAGGTGCGCGCCGAAGCGATAATGTACACTGGGTCAACATCGATTCTGTCCGATGGAACGCCGGAATTTCCTATGCATAAACACATTCCACCACTTTGTTGGACCAGATAGAATCGATGTTAATGAAGTTGTATATCGATTATCGAATTATACAATACGAAGCATGGCGTTTTACGAAGGAGTGTAATACTTTAAAAAGTAATGCACTGTAAATATGCTATTTTTCTGTTGATTTCATGATATGCTAAGTATTAGACTTTTGTTTTGTAATGAAAGTAAATGTTGCTGTGAACGCCTGATTTCTCATCATGCCGCGCGAATTGAAAGACAGTCAATACAGAGATACTACGATATTATCAAATCAGATGGTTTTAATAAAATAATGAGATGACCAAATCGAAAAAAACTGTATGTCTCAATGGACACAAAAATAAGTAAAAGAATAAAATAAATGAAAAGAAACTCGGGCAGGGACATAAATTGGTTCTGCATCGCACAGTGTTGTGATCACATGTGATCGTAATTTTAGGTCCAAATGAATCGGATATCAAACATTTTTCTGAACTTTATAATATTATATTATTTATTGAATCGTTTACTCGATTACAAATCAATTTTATTATTTTTCATTTTTTGTTACTTTCTGAATTTTGAAACAAATAAGCTAAGTTGAGTTTTTACAATTGTATTTCAATTAAAAAAAAAGTTCATTTAATTCATAAGGATGCTTGTGCGCACCAAAAAAAAAGAATTTTAATATCATTGAAGATTCAAGTGAAAAAAATCCTCGATGCCCTTACCTAGAACATAATTTAAGTTAGTGAAACAAATTTATACTAGAGAAAAGTTAGAAAAAAATGAAATACCTTTGCTAAAGGCATCATACACTGGAGCTCTATTCCTTCCCATCGATTTCTGCCGCCAGGCATATTTTCAACCAATCCTCCTTCGTCAGCATATCGACGATCATGTCACAGCACAGAATCGGCAGCTGATAGCGCGTCAGCGACAAGAAAAATTCCAACGTCCAACGACGGCAGAATTTTCTGTACTTTATCTCGCACAGGAACTCGGTACAGGTTACGTGCATATGAAATTCTTTCGAGTTTGCTAGAGACATCAATTCCTTCATGGTGAATGATTCGGTCGCCTCTGAAGGTCGTAACTGAAGCAAGTCGTAGAGCGACAATTTCGGATTTATCATCTGATTTTTCGACGACTCTTCGAACTTTTTGTAATAACTTAAGTGTCTATTGATATCCACTGAATTATTCAACATGTGGTGTTTGGCGAAAGTTTTCATGATCGTCAGGGCTCCGACTCGTTCCATCTCGTATTTGTGTTTTTCCAGGCGCTCGACGCACGCCAGAACGCCACACGCTTGTTCCAATCTGAAATCGTACTCATCGCCCAAGTCTAAGTACGATTCGAATATACAGTCGAAGTCACTCTCGGTGGGAAAAACGAATTTAGATAGATCGGCGCCATTAGTCAAGAGTATATCGACGGAATTCGGCATGAAATTAGCGACGGCCTCTTGCAGCGGTGTCCGACCTGACTTGTCCAAGGCGTCTACCTGCACAGACAGATTAAGTTGACGGCTGGTCTCGAAAAACGTCTCCGCCAAGTCGTCGTCGTCAAAGTGGTCTCTTACGCAAATGACGTGTAAAGGAGTTGATCCATTCTCATCGGCCGAATTCGGACTGGCGCCTTTTCTAAGCAGTAATTCGGTTATCTTCTTGTTGCTGCGATTGACAGCGTCATGCAATGGTGTACTGCCCGACTTGTCTCGGGCATTGACATCGACCGTTTGGTGCATGTCATTAGTGACTTCAAAAAATAAATTAAACAATAAAGTCGTCGACTCATCGTCGGAGTATCTAGAGCAAATAACGTGTAAAGGCGTCGATCCATTTTTGTTGGCCAAGTGCGGGTCGGCGCCTCTTCTCAGCAGAAATTGGGCCACCTCCTTCAGGCCGCAGTCTAAAGCCAAGTGTAGCGATGCGTTACCATTCTTATTCTGCGCGTCGATTTGCACCGACTCATTGACTTCTTCATTGATGTTGAAGAATAGTTCCAAAGTTGCGGCATCATCGTGGTTGTGTCTCTGGCAAATGATATGCAGAGAAGTCGATCCTCTCTTATTGACTAAATTCAAGTTTGCGCCTCTTCTCAGCAGCAATTCGGCTACCTTCTTGTTGACTTTTCTCACAGCCAAGTGCAATGACGTATCACCCCCTTTTTCCTGGACGTCAATTTGCACCGGATGATATTTTTCGTTGCTGAGCTCGAATATCATCTCGGCGAAGTCGACATCGAGTTTTTCTTGGCTCACGATATGCAGAGCTGTCAGTCCGTCTTGGTTAGATAGATTTGGATCGGCTCCATTAATCAACAGTAATTCGACTACTTTTTTGTGTTTGTGTCGAAGGGCCAAGTGAAGAGACGAGTCAGCTGTTTTGGGCACGACCAGATTCGGATCTTGACCGAGCTCGAGAAATTTCTCAACGACGTCGACGCAGTCGTACTGGCAGGCCAAGTGAAAATGCGACATTCCCGATTTGTCGGTGTAATTCACGTCGAATCTTTCGTATATTTTAAACAGATCCGGAATGATCGAACTGCGATTTATTTTAGCTGCCCAGTGAATTGCAGTGGTACGACGCGACGATGAATCGCCGTCTGCATCGACTTGATGTACGTCTTTGTAACCGGTTCTAACCACAAATCCGATAAATTGGTCAACTAGAGTTGCATTGAGTCTGTTCAAGCTTTTCACACTCTCGACGAGAAGCCAATCCACTTCTGTGCCTCGAAAAATATTCCGAAGATTTGGCAGTTTGCCCTTCCAATCTCCGACTAACGGATAAAGCTGTCGGAGAAATTCGACTCGATCTTTTTTAATCTTCCAATTGACCCCTTCTCGCATGATTTTCAATTTCTTCAAACAGTTCATGTCGTTATAAAAGCTAACACAACACTCAATCGCTTATTTTGATATGTAATATTTTCACTTGTGGTTTCAACGTAACAAAAACTCACTCAACACTCAATCGCTTTAAGCAATTTATATAAATTTTCACTTGTCACGAGAATCACTCGAACTGTAATCGAACAAGTCGACGCAATCTTTTATTTGTTTACGCTGCGGTGTCGTAACGACTACTGACCAGTGCACAGTGGACGACACGACGTGTAGCGTGACACTGCGCCAGCCGCCAACTGAGCGCCGTCGTCTTAACCTCCATATTTTCAAAACAAGTGGATCGAACGGCTGCCCGTGGGCCTAAGCAATTGTGTAAACTGTAAACATATCGAATAGCACAGAGTGAAATGAGAAGTTTCGGAGCAACCGACCGGCGCTTATTATTGTTTTGTCGTCGAGTACATAATTGAGTATATGGTCCTTGTTTTTTGCTGTGTAATGCAAATATAAATTGATGCTGCTACGAACGTCAATTTTTTCCTGTTATTTCGATTTTTTACTGTGCGACTAAAATTACTGAGACATTGTAATTTGCACGATTTCATGAAGGCCTTTTTTCACGTTAATACTATAGAATGAGCGTGATGCCAAAAAAGTTTTTTTTACATTTAATCAGGCCGAAGAAAAACGAAACGAGATTCACATCAAGGTATGAATTGGTTACAGTGCACCGACAAAATAGGAAAGCTTTTTTTATTCATAGCCTGCAGAATTTTCCATTGCATGCTTTAAAAACCCCATACATCTCTCGCTTATTCTGCAGTCTAATCTACACTACACGTTTATCTATAATATCGCTTTGTATCTCTTTTTCTCTTGCTCCCTTCAAACTATCAGAATGTAAATGGTATGAACGTTTTTATCAATTTTTTTTATCCACCGCTGTTATCACTTGTTACAGTCGCTGAGATGATTTTTTGGTTTTTACGCTGAGGCGCCGTGATGTGTTTTGAACTACTGTACTGAATATACATGCATACATTACGACTTTTACAAAACATAAACACAAGAACCACCTTTTGATCCGTAAAAGTACGCAGGAAAATTACGAAAAAAATTTATTACAAAATTTTGATCACTACGGTGGCATGAAATTCTTTTGAAATCGAAGGTTTATTATCAATAAATAAAAGAAAATAATATTATTGAAAAGTTGTATCTATTTTGATACTTACAGCAGTACATATGCAAACATGAGAGTGAACCACTTAGACATGCTCGTTCGTTGCTTACTGAGAAAATCGACTCGTTCAGCGTTCATAAGTAAATTGTCGAAATGAATCATTGTTTTGTTCTTATGTGACACACGGATTTTGGCGAAACAGTTATCTTTTCTCGTCAACCAAAAGATTTAGAGTTATTTAAAAAAGTTTGTGTAACGCTTAAATTAAAAGAATTAGCTCCGCTCACAAAAATTTGCATACAGTATTTTAAAGAATCAACTTTTCCCAGTAAGTAAAGTTAATGAAAGCAAATAACGAAATAAAATTCAATAATGAAAAAACAAGGAAATGAAAATAAGGAAAAAAGCATGTTTTTTCTCACAGTACCATGTGACACCAATAAGTTACTATGAAGATAGACGTGGTCTCTGGGGACGGATAATAGTTTTTCCGCGTGCTCGTCATAGTACAGGTATTAGATAAAAAAAGATCTAGTGGATTCAAGCCCTGCAAATTGATTAAGTTTAAATCGGTGCCGTGTCTCCGTAGCAATCGTACGCCGTGCATAAGGTCGTACGCGGAAAAACTATTATCCGTCCCCAGAGACCACGTCTATCTTCATAGTAACTTATTGGTGTGCAAAAGCAATGGGGCAACACACCGCTGCACTTGGCCTCTGCGCAACGGCAACAACAAGACGCACTCGAATTGTCATTGAGACGAGGCGCCGATCCAAATATTTGCCAATGCAACGGGATCGACTACTCAGCACATGATGTGTTAAAGGCACGAGGGTAATAACGAGTTTGCGAAGAAATGTTTCAAAATCACCGAAGATAAACATCAACTGGTGCAAGTCGACGCCTTGAGGCACAGATTGCAAATTTTTGGTCGCCCGCGACTCGCGAGCTGCTGCTGGGCTCAGCTCCGGCCTGCACAAAACAATGCACATCTCTCTCTCTCTCTCTCTCTCTCTCTCTCTCTCTCTCTCTCTCTCTCGTTGTTCAAAATGCGTAAAAAATTATTGCGTTGCAAATTACCATCTTTACTGGATGAAAATGTTTTTTCATCCACCACGATGGTCCTCATCCACATGTCGGGCGTCCAGTGCCTGAAATTCTGAGCATAGGCAAGGCGGGCTGCCTCGTTCAGCTCCGTCAAATTGACTTTCTTACTGGCGCTGCGAAAACGTAATTTTGTCCTATTTCTCACGGTTCTTCGCACAGTCTCATAGCAGGCATTGAAATTCAGCTGCTGCGCCAAAGTCTTTAACGACTCAAACGGAGCAGCTGTAATGGCATTTTTCAATGCCTCCAATGCATCGTTGCCGATAGCGTACGGCCGTGAGTTATGCCGGCGTTGATCGACAGCTTGTCGGCCATCGCCTTCGGCATCAAATTTTATTTTCCACCGTCTGACTGTTCTTTCCGAACATCGGAAATACGCGGCCAATACGTTGCGATTTACACCGTGATCAAGTAAAAATCGCAATACGGTCAGATTCGCGTCGGTAGGCACAAACGGCATTGTTCAAAGAAAAACAAAATTTTAACAAATAGCGAAACTGAAATAAATGCACAAATCACCGAAGACAAGCGCAATCCATGCAAACTGTCTCGGTCTTTGTCTGACGTTACACGAGCGAATTTCGAATTACAGCGCCGACCTGCCTGCCACCGATCGTTGGCGGCGGCGGCGGCGGCGAAATTGCAGGAAACTATTAGTGTCGGCGATAAGCTGTGCAAATAGCACGGAGGAGGGGGTGAATGTTTGCGGCGACCGGCGGCTCATTTTCGCCGCACGCCGAAGATTGTAACTTCGGTAGAGACCATCGGTAGAGACCAGCTCTTTTCATTGCGAACCACCGTCGAGTCAACATCTCCTGCTGCGATCACCATGAAGACAATTCAGCGAGAAGTTTGCCGAGCAATCCAGGCCCACGTTTTGTTGTACGACAGTCGTCACCCGGACTATCGTAACACTAACCGAAAAGCGAATGCCTACAGCAGCGTTGCTATAAGATTAAATATCTTAAGCCGTGAGTAATTTATTAATTATAAATCTTGTCTTTTCTGTCCATCTCTCTCTCTCTCCTCTCTCTCTCTCTCTCTCTCTCTCTCTCTCTCTCTCTCTTCCTTGCTTCATATGGTATACTCTAACGCCTTTTGTTCTCTTTGTTTTTTTTTTATTAAGCCACTGTATAGTGGATTAAAATATGTGCCCGAGTACTGAACGGCACGAGTTCAAAAACAATTGCAGATCGTCGCCAACTTAATTTCGCGCATCGGACATTAACGAAAGTAGATGCGAACATTTTCAATCTCTCTCTCTCTCTCTCTCGCTTGTTTTGTATACTCTCCTCGAACTGCTTTTGGTTTTTTCCATTTTTTGATTAATCGACTGTAAAGTGTATAAAAATATGTGCGCGAGTACACGATGCGAGATCAAAGACGATTGACCAACAGGCCGTCACGAACATTTTTTTTACACATTCTGTCCCCTGAATATATACAAATTGACATGTATCACTATACTTTCAACTTATATTAAAACACATTTTATTTTTTCTCTGTTACAGCCAAAACCGTCCATTGGATGTGGAGTCACCTCCGAAGAAGATATAATCGCCTACAATTGGCTTTGGCGAACGAACAAATGCAATTTGCGACTATGAGCCGTAACAACCATGAATATCTATATAGATTGGATTACTTATGCCACCACACCCACCACTTCGGGAATTTCTATAATAGGACTTGGGAAGAGCGCTGTCGCAAAGCGGGGGTGGTGATAATTTTTGAAGATTAAAAATTGTTATTAAAAAGCAAACTCATTTCATGTTCTGTATAAGTAAGCTGCTTTATTCAAATGAAAAGTTTAATGAAAAAAAAAAAAACAAAATTATTGCAAAAAATTGTTGAATAAGCATGTAAAGCACATTAAAAAATCAAACTCATTTTTCTGTAATATGTAATCGTAATAAAAACATGTTCTCTACTTAAATGGTTAAAGGTTTTTTTTTATTTATAATAATATATTAAAATGATGTAATAATATTGAAGATAATAGAAACGAGCCATCTTGTCGGAGCTGCTGTCGTGGGTGTTTTCGGATTTCGTTTGTGAGAAAGGAAGGGGAGTCGGAGCACTCGGCGGAGGGAGCAGACGCAAACGGCGTCAGCTGCGTTACGCCAGGCGAGGGGAGGCTCGACGTGCGGCACTGGCGCGACACTGCGCCAACTGAGCGCCGTCGTCTTAACCTCCATATTTTCAAAACAAGTGGATCGAACGGCGGCCCGTGGGCCTACCTAAGCAATGATGTAAACTGTCAACATATCGAATAGCACAGAGTGAAATGAGAGGTTTCAGAGCAACCGACCGACGATTGTTTTTGTTTTGTCGTCGAGTTCAGATCCCCTGCTCCCCAGAAGAAGAGAACAACTCCCGCAAAAGAGAAATACATATTTGAACCCCCTCCAACCCAGTTCATTATGTCACGACACTTTTTATTCTAGAAACGAAGTTCAATTGGTCACTAGGGCTACAAATGAGAGTAAAATAACTACGTCAATCAGCAATTACATATAATATCCTTTAACTATACTCTATTCTTATAAAAGTGATAACTCGATTTTGTCCTGAAAATAACCGTGTTGTGATTGGTCTTTAGATTTAAGAAAGTGAACCGGTACTCATCAAGATTATTTACAATTTTTTATACTCTCGTTTCAATCATGATTGCTTACTTCTACAATTAGCGCTTCCAGCATAAGACCACCACCCCGGACAATTGCCGGATTTTTGGCCCGAAGTGTTATATCTTTAGCTCACTAACCAACGCTTACAAGACTCTAAAAAAAAGCAAAACACATATAAAGATCGATCGACTTTTTTCCACTTCTTTTTAGTATTGTAATTGAAAATTTTCCAAAAATTGATTTCAATATTAAAACTCGACTTGCCTGTTTAAGGCGATTTATCTCATATATGTCCGTGTGTCAGAGGAAAAAGTCTTTTGATAAGCGTTTTTTGATCATTTTTTAGCATTTACAATCGATTATGAGTGAGTTGAAAAGATGTTGAAAAGAAACCTCACCACTACACCGAAAGAACTCCGTGCACTTCTCATTCATTTCGATATCTGAAAAACTTCTGACCATTTGCTCACCCTAGAAGACATTGTTTTCTATCGATTTTGGCATCCCCTTTTGATTGGTTCAGTTTATTTTGAAATCGAAAGTCATATATTTCGAGATTAATCACCTTAAATATTGAAGTCGAGTTTTAACTTTAAAATCAATTTTCAGGTATTTTTTAAATTACACAGGAGGGGCTCAATGAGTTCTATCTTGTCCAGCAGCAACATAACGTGAGAAAAATGTGCTATTTGTTCTTATCAAACGGTTGTATATAATTTAGTCGTCACCAAGTTAAATTTTTATTTCAAAAGTCATAAGGATAACTTATAAATAGATAAGTGGGTAACATAATTGTAAATAATATGATCATATGAACGACTTTTAAATGGTCCCTCGACACAGTGCTTATGTTTATACTTAACTTAAATTAGTATATGTATCGTACCTTTTCCTGCGAAACAAGATCTAAGCCATATTTATATTAAAGATAAATTTTACTCATTCAATTACCGTGGTACTATATTGACGGAAATATCGTTTTATTCAGGCACCGAAATGGATAAACGTGGAGATAAAATTGAAAAAGTTATCACAAAAAATAACTCAAGTGAACACGACTTTGTTATTTCAGTTGACAAACAATACGTTAGTGATATTTGTCAGGAGGCATTTACTCTCGAATCAAGCATGATGATGCACCGAGACACAATTCACAATGAGCGAAAAGATTACTCTTGCGATAAGTGCGAAATGAAATTTGAGTTCCGAAGTCATTTGAGTAGACACCGAATATTAGAACACAAAAGTCGCGACGATTTTGCATGTGACAGGTGTGAACAGAAATTTGTGAAAAAGTCAAGTTTGCTTACGCACCAAAAATTAGTACACAAAGATCACAAAGATTTGATGTGTAACAAGTGCGACAGAAAATTTGAAAATAAATCAACTTTACTCAAACACAAAAAAAAATTTTTCACGAAGTCTTCAGAGATTACTTGTGTGAAAAGTGCGCCAAGAGATTTGGAAATAAGCAAAATATGTTCTTGCACATAAAGACAGTACACAACAAGCACGAGAAGAAAATTGAACCAAAATTGAAATTGATGAGACACCAAAAGGCAGTCCATGAAGGTCGTAAAGATTTTGCATGCGACAATTGTGAGAGGAAATTTGGAAGTAGAGGAGCTTTGTACAAGCACCAAAGCGCAATTCATGAAGGTCGCAAAGATCATGCTTGCAGTAAGTGTGAGAAGGCATTTACACAAAAACCGAGTTTGCTCTACCATGAAAAGGTAGTCCACGAGGGTCGTAAAGATTTTCCATGCGATAAGTGTGAGAAGAAATTCGGTCAGCAAAGTAATTTGCTCACTCACAAAAAAATGATGCATGAAGGTCGTAAAGATTTCACATGTGACAAATGCAAACAGAAATTTGCACTAAAATGGATTATGATTCATCACCAAAAAACAGTCCACGAAGGTCGCAAAGATTTCGCATGTGACAAGTGCGAGCTGAAATCTGGAAGTAAATCAGATTTGTTGAAACACCAAAAAATAGTCCACGAAGGTCGCAAAGATTTCGCATGCGATAAGTGTGGAAGAGAATTCGGATACAAATCAACTTTTCTCTTACACCAAAGGACAGTCCACGAAGGTCGTAAAGATTTCACATGTGACAAATGCAAACAGAAATTTGCATTAAAATGGATTATGATTCAGCACCATAAAACAGTCCACGAAGGTCGCAAAGATTTCGCATGTGACAAGTGCGAGCTGAAATCTGGAAGTAAATCAGATTTGTTGAAACACCAAAAAATAGTTCACGAAGGTCGCAAAGATTTCGCATGCGACAAGTGTGGAAGAGAATTCGGATACAAATCAACTTTTCTCTTACACCAAAGGACAGTCCACGAAGGTCAGAAAGATTATTCATGCGACAAATGCGATAAGACATTTGCCCAAAAATCGAGTTTGATCTCGCACCAAAAAATAGTCCACGAAGGTCGCAAAGATTGTACATGTGATAAATGCGAGAAGAAATTCGGGCTTAAGCAAAATTTAAGAAAGTACCAAAAAAAAATTCCACGATGTCAGTTAAGACTTTAAATGAGACAAGTGCAAGAAGAAATTATGTAGTCCATCAAATTGTAGTTGACACTGACATACCATGAAATTTATAAAATCGCCAATCGCAAAAGTACAATTAGAAATGTAACGTGTATCGTGACAACAATCATCGAATCAAATTTTGCATGTCATCGTATTTTGACTCTGCACATTCGATTTGCTCATAAGGGCATTGAAGCTATTCTTTACATAATTTGATGACTCAACTGTTTCAAATTCATCTTTATCTTGATGCATTTTTTATATAAATGTCTCAAACTTATTATAAATGTATATAAAAATTTATATAGATATCTAAGTACAAATTTGTGCTTAAATTTCAGTTTCGTTCAATTTATTTTCCTCCAAAATTCTGAATTGTACTTGATTTCCCATAAATTGGAATGTAGAATCATCATCATCTTTCTTTCTATAAAAAATAATTTTGTTTTAAGTCTTAAATATTTTATGAACAAAAAAGTCTATAAAAAGTGATAACTTACGGGTCCAAAAACGTTTCAAACACTTTCTTTGAAATTAAATCCTTGTCTGAGCGTTGGACACTTTTTTTTATCCTGAGTACCAATTGCCCTTTGAATATTATTGATGATGCAAGTGAAAAAAAATCCTCGATACCCTTACCTAGAACATAATTTAAGTTAGTGAAATAAATTTATAATAGAGAACAGTTAGAAAAAAATGAAATACCTTTGCTAACGGCGGCATCATACACTGGAGCTCTATTCCTTCCCATCGATATCCGCCGCCAGACATATTTTCAACCAATCCTCCTTCGTCAGCAGATCGACGATCATGTCGCAGCACAGAATCGGCAGCTGATAGCGCATCAGCGACAAGAAAAATTCCAACGTCCAACGACGGCAGAATTTTCTGAACTTTATCTCGCACAGATACTCCGTACAGGTTTCGTACATATCAAATTCTTCCGAGTTTGCTAGAGACATCAATTCCTTCAAGGTGAATGATTCGGTCGCCTCTGCGGGTCGTAACTGAAGCAAGTCGTAGAGCGACAATTTCGGATTTATCATCTGATTTTTCGACGACTCTTCGAACTTTTTGTAATAACTTAAGTGTCTATTGATATCCACTGAATCATTCAACATGTGGTGTTTGGCGAAAGTTTTCATGATCGTCAGGGCTCCGACTCGGTCCATCTCGTATCCGTGTTTTTCCAGGCGCTCGACGCACGCCAGAACGCCACACGCTTGCTCCAATCTGAAATCGTACTCATCGCCCAAGTCTGAGTATGATTCGAATACACCATCGAAGTCACTTTCGGTGGGAAAAACAAATTTGGATAGATCGGCGCCATTAGTCAAGAGTATATCGACGGAATTCGGCAGGAAACTAGAGATGGCATGTTGCAGCGGTGTCCGATCTGACTTGTCCAAGGCATCTATCTGCACGGACAGATCAAGTTGACGGCTGATCTCGAAAAACGTCTCCGCCAAGTCGTCATCGTTATAATGATCTCTTTGGCAAATAGCGTGTAAAGGAGTCGATCCATACTCGTCCACCATATTTGGATTGGCGCCTTTTCTCAGCAGTAACTCTGTTATCTTGTTGTTGCTGCGATTAACAGCGCTATGCAATGGTGTACTACCCGACTTGTCCCGGGCATTGACATCGACCGATTGGTGCATGTCATTAGTGACTTCAAAAAATAAATTAAACAATGAAGTCGTCGACTCATCGTCGGAGTATCTAGAGCAAATAGCGTGTAAAGGCGTCGATCCATTTTCGTTGGCCAGGTGCGGGTCTGCACCTCTTCTTAGCAAAAATTTGGCCACCTCCTTGAGACCAAAGCGCAGAGCCAAATGTAGTGGTGCGTTACCATTCTTATCCTGCGCGTCGATTTGCACCGACTCATTGACTTCTTCATTAATGCTGAAGAATAATTCCAACGTTGCGACATCATCGTGGTTGTGACTCTTACAAATGATATGCAAAGAAGTCGATCCGCTCTTATTGACTAAATTCAAATTTGCGCCTCTTCTTAGCAGCAATTCGACTACCTTCTTGTTGTCTCTCACAGCCAAGTGCAATGGCGTATCACCCCATTTTTCCTGGACGTCAATTTGCACCGGATGATATTTTTCGTTGCTGAGCTCGAATATCATCTCAGCAAAGTCAACATCGAGTTTTTCTTGGCTCACGATATGCAGAGCTGTCAGTCCGTCTTGGTTAGATAGATTTGGATCGGCTCCATTAATCAACAGTAATTCGACTACTTTTTTGTGTTTGTGTCGAAGGGCCAAGTGAAGAGACGAGTCAGCTGTTTTGGGCACGACCAGATTCGGATCTTGACCGAGCTCGAGAAATTTCTCAACGACGTCGACGCAGTCGTACTGGCAGGCCAAGTGAAAATGCGACATTCCAGATTTGTCGGTGTAATTCACGTCGAATCTGTTGTATATTTTAAACAGATCCGGAATGATCGAACTGCGATTTATTTTAGCTGCCCCGTGAATCGCAGTGGTACGACGCGACGATGAATCGCCGGCTGCATCGACTTGATGCTCGTCCTTGTAGCCGGTTCTGACCACAAATCCGATAAATTGATCAACTAGAGCTGCATTGAGTCTGTTCAAGCTTTTCACACTCTCGACGAGAAGCCAATCCACTTCTGTGCCTCGAAAAATATTCCGAAGATTTGGCAGTTTGCCCTTCCAATCTCCGACTAACGGATAAAGCTGTCGGAGAAATTCGACTCGATCTTTTTTAATCTTCCAATTAACCCCTTCTCGCATGATTTTCAATTTCTTCAAACAGTTCATGTCGTTATACAAGCTAGCACAACACTCAATCGCTTATTGTGATATGTAATATTTTCACTTGTGAATTCAATGTAACAAAAACTCACTGAACATTCAATTGCTTTAAGCAATTTATATAAATTTTCACTAGTCAGGAGAATCACTCTAACTGTAATCGAACGAGTCGACGCGATCTTTCATTTGTTTACGCTGCGGTGTCGTAACGACTACTGACCAGTGCACAGTGGACGACTCGACGTGTGGCGTGACACTGCGCCAACTGAGCGCCGTCGTCTTAACCTCCATATGTTCAAAACAAGTGGATCGAACTGCGGCCCGTAGGCCTAAGCAATTGTGTAAACTGTAAACATATCGAATAGCACAGAGTGAAATGAGAAGTTTCGGAGCAACCGACCGACCAACGCTTGTTATTGTTTTGGCGTCGAGTTCATAATTGAGGTATACTGTATATGGTCCTTGTTTTTTTCTGTGTAATGTAAATATAAATTGATACTGCTAATGATTCAAATATAAATTGGTGCTGAATTTTTTCCTGTTAGTTTGATTTTTCACTGTGCGACTAATGAGACATTGTAATTCGCACGATTTCATCGAGTCTTTGGGTCTTTGGAGTTTGGACTATGGGTACATACGGCGCGTATCAATAAATGAGACGCAAATTTTCAACTGTTTTACGTACCTGCGCGGGTATTTCGCCCGTATTTTTTAGTAGAAAAATCAACATCAATAGTGAAAACATATCGTACTCCTCCAGTTCTAATAAATACAAATTGATTTGTTTGACGCGATGATTCGATTAATCAATCCCGATGTAAATAATCTTTCAACGAACAAATTTAAAAGTATACATGAGATCTGAAATAAGAATAGTATGTAAATAGTAGCACCAGTCGATAGACGGTGTAATTTAAAAGTAAAAAGTTGAGAGATTTTTACAATGTCAGCTTCGGAAAAACAAAGATTAGAAATTAAAAGTGCTAACTTACGTCACAAATGCGACGAGTGTGGTAAGATTTTCTTAACTAAGAAAAAATTGGAAGATCACATAATGTCGAGTTCATTTGAAACTAAGAAATTTTGTTTGCGAAAATTGTTGACGATCTTTTGTCACGAAACGAATTTTTTTAGAATTATTTTGGAACGTTTTGGATTTTTTTAATTCTATACATTTTTCAAAATTTTCAGTGGTCTGGAAAATTCTAAAAAAATTAACACCTATTCTATAACGATTTCAAATACTTTTTTGCCCTCACAATCGTACTTTTTAGTTAATATTTAGCGCATGTGAAATGTACCGAGTAAAAAATAAGTGAATTTATAAGTCGCTGTTCGGTATAAACTCGGCATTTTAGAAATATAAACTGAGGACAAGTTTATTCTTGGTTCAACGAGACTAGTTCTGTTGTGACAACAGAAATGAGTTAACCTTTGATAAGTGAAACTTCTCCTTGTGACAGGGAGAATTACCACTTGCCAATGGGTGTGTAAGGATCTATTTACTCAATGTTTTTTACTTTGACTCGATGTTGTCTGTTGGGGTTGGTTTGAAAGTACTAAGTTTTAGAAAACCAAAAAATTTCGCAAAGGAATCGTCACCAAATTAGAATTTAAAATTGTTTAAAATATCGTAAGGATAATAAACAGATACATCAGCAACTTAATTGTAAACAATATGAACATAGAAAATTCGACATCGTTCCTCAACACACTAATCATGTTTACAATAAAAACAAATCAGTTTAAATGTTGCCTTTCCCGATGAAACAAAGCATAATACCAAAATATTAATTTTAATTATTAAATTTCTGTTCTATTAAATAAACTGAACCATCGTTTATTCAAGGCATCAAAATGGATACAAGCAAGAAGAAATTCGAGGAAATTTTCTCGAAAGATAATTCAAGCGAACAAGACATTGTTCTTTTAGACGCCAAAAAATATGTTTGTGAAATTTGTCAAGAGACATTTATACTAGAATCGAGCATGATCACACATCAAGATACAATGCATAATAAAAAAAAAGATTTTGCATGTGACCGATGCGAAAAGAAATTTGTAAAAAAATTAAATTTGTTCACACATCAAAAATTGGTACACAAAGATCGCAAAGATCACACGTGCAACAAGTGCGAGAGAAAATTTGAAAATAAATCAACTTTACTCAAGCACAAAAGAATATTCCACGAAGTTTTCAAAAATTACTTATGTGAAATGTGCGTGAAGAGATTCGATTCAAAACATAGTTTGCTTTTGCACATAAAGACAGTACACGAGAGTCGCAAAGATTTCACATGCGACAAATGCGGGGAGGTATTTATAAAAAAATCGCACTTGTTGTTTCATTTAAAGAAAGTCCACGAAAGTCGCAAAGATTTCATCTTTAAAGTGTTCAAAGACTACTTATGTTACAATTGCGAAAAGAAATTTGGATCAAAATCGGTTTTGATCAGACACCAAAAGACGGTCCACGAAGGTCGCAGAGATTTTGTTTGTGACAAGTGCGAGCTGAGATTTAGACAAAAATCAAATTTGCTCGTTCACCAAAAAACAGTCCATGAAGGTCGAAGAGATCACGCATGCGACATGTGCGAGAAGAAATTTGGACAAAAATCGAGTTTGCTTGGTCACCAAAGGACAGTACTCGAAGGTCACAAAGATTTCATATGTAACAAGTGTGAGAAAAAATTTACACAAAAATCGAGTTTGCTTTTGCATCAAAAAACAGTTCACGAGGATTGCAAAGACTATGCATGCGACAAGTGCGAAAAGAAATTCGGACAAAAACCGACTTTGCTTTTCCACCAAAGGACGGTCCACGAGGGTCGTAAAGATTTCGCATGCGACAAATGCGAGATGAGATGTGGGGATCAAAGTAATTTGAGAAGACACCAGAAGACAATACACGAAGGTCGGAAAGATTATTCATGTGATAAGTGTGAGAAGAAATTCGGACTAAAACATAATTTGCTGATGCACATAAAGACAGTACACGATGGTCGTAAAGATTTTGCATGTGACAATTGCGATAAAAATTTTGGGAATCAATACACTTTGATCAGACATAAAAAAACAGTTCACGAGGGACGCAAAAATTTTGCATGCGACAAGTGCGAAAAAAATTTTGGAAAAAAAGCGCATTGGCTCAAACACCAAAGTATAGTTCACGAAGGTCGCAAAGATTACGTATGTGACGATTGCGAGAAAAAATTTGGACTGAAATCCGATTTGTCAAAGCACCAAAGAACAGTACACGAAGGGCGGAAAGATTACGCACGCGACAAATGCGAGAAGAAATGATAATTGACAACTGTAAATATGTGTAGACACTCATACATATGTTTTTCTAAAATTTCAATAAAAATTGTGCTGAAATTATAATTTGATATCACCTGAACCTCAGATGTTCACATATACACAGTATGCTCGAAGAGCGTATAGGTTTGCCAAAAATACCTCCAAATTCTGTAGTAAGGGTTCGAAAGTATGTAAATCACTGAATATGAAACCGTTCGAACGAAAATCCTAGCTGCTACTCTAGTGAAATGTTCCCTTAAACTGCATCAAAACATTATTGCCGTTATTTAATATAGCTGTTTTTTGTGGGGTTTCTTTAGTTGAAACATAGTTAACTCACTTTAATCCTTATTCATAGTTGTACAGTTTTAAAGTGCAAAAAATAACCTTTAATTTGGTAATTTCAAAAACATTCCAAGTCACATATAGAACCGGAGATACAACTATATGAAGATTCGCGAATAATTTAAGTATTAAATGTGTGAACCGTCTGACACATTAATAATTCTACGATTTTGTATAAATAAAGCAACAAATCACATTAATTCATTAATTTCGTTCCGTTCAATTCGATTCGTCGGGTCACATGGTTCAGTAAGCCCCATCCTTATCACGCATCCAAACACTTCTGTGCCTCGTAAACTTGTCTTCATACGTTACGTATCACCGTATATAGGCCACTCAGTCTCTCGTAAGAGTCTCTCGTTCGGTCAAACGTAAATAAATCACAGTGTCGGTTAAACGTAAAACTACACGCCTCAAAACAGCAAACGGTTCTCGTTGAATCAGTGCAAAAAAAAAAAAAAAAAAAAATTCAACGCGTCGCAACGAAAATGTCCGGCTCGTCGTCGTCGTCGTCGTCGGACGAGGAGTCACACGACAATCGCTGGGCCCCCAACCGCTACGCGCCGGATTGCCAGCCCATCCCGGAGAAGCTGGCGGCGATCGAGGCTCTGCGCGCGAACGTCACCGATTGGCAGTCGCCGAAGGAGCGCAGACGATTTCTCCGTCGTCTCGATCCTCTCGTCCAGAACTGGAGAGAAGGAATACCCGATCTGCGCGAGATCTTTCGGACCAAGGAGATCGAGCTGTTGCTGCAGGAATCGCTGAATCACATCGACGCACGTGGCGACAAAGTGGGTAATCGGTTCATCGTATTCGTGTGTCGAGCCCGCTACCATGCCGTGCCCGAACTGGACGAGGCGACGGGCGAGCCGATTTTGCGTCGCACCACGGCTCTGCACCTGGCGGCTCGACGGTTCCTGGACAATCGCAATGCGAACAGCAAGGTATACCGTGAAATATTCAATTATCTGTTACGTATATACTTGTGGAACAACGTCGACGAGGAGGACGGCTACTCGCACTTCCACATAGTCTGCCAGCTGACCTTCGCCCCCAGCGTGTACTTGGCAAACTTCCTGGATTTCGACGAGGCGAGTCCCAACGAGCTCGTGGAAAAAACCGGCGACACGCCTCTGCACCTGGTCGAGGGCTCGGACGTGGATAAGGTGAAGCTGCTGCTGTTACGCGGAGCCAATCCGTATCTCGCCAACAAGCAGGGCCAGACGCCGCTGCACGTGATGGGCGGGCCGAGCTGTCGTCGGGCGTTGCAGGCCATGATCGGGATCGCCGGGGCCAGTGGTCGGCCGGTGCTGATCGACGCCAGGGACGAGCTCGGCCGAACCCCCCTGGCGATGGCCGTGGAGCGGCTCGATCTGGAAAAGGTCGAGCTGCTGCTGGATTACGGCGCCGACGCCGCCCTGGTCGATATGCCCGTTTGGACGTATATTGTGCACGACGATTCGAACCCAGGACACGTGGCGTTGACGAATTTCGAATTGGCTGCCGGTGCGCTGGCCGTCGTCGAGTGCCTCGAGACGAGAGGCGGTTACGTGCTGGATCGGCGTGACGTGTCGCGCATCATGATGACGTTCGCCCAGATGGGAGAGTACCTGACCGATAGGGAGGCGATGGACAGATCTTGGTACGAGGACGAGCGGTTCGTC